ATAAAACGAAAATAGAATGCTGTAATAAAAAACAAAAATGTTACTTGAAATTAAGTACATGATAAATAAAATTTAAAACCCAACAGAACATCAGATGAACTAGAAGGGAGCAGAATATGCCCAGCCCCCAAATATGTCACTTTGGCATACTGATTGTTTTGAATTAAAAGCACTTGAGAGACAGCTATCACAAGAACACTCTGACCCCCCTCTGTCCCCCTTAAAGCAGGAGATGAATCTCCCATGTGAAGGTACACTCCCTATGCCAATATTGAGTAGCGATGCCCTAGACCCTAGAAAAAATACTTAAAAGCATTGTACTTGTGATGTCGCTGGGTCCAACACAATGTGAAGTCTACAGATCACTGGAGGAAGAACATAAAATAAAGAACAAACTCCTTGGGCTAATACTCAAGGCCACCAAAATGAATCTCCACCCTTTTCAGTACTACTATGCCATCCCCAGCCCGTATATCATTTCTGTTTACTTGATATCAAATTCAGCTCCCTTCAAGAAGCCTTCTCTGTTGCTTTAACACAAGTGAAAAGTTGTCTGTCTTCCAGGGAACAACTGGCTCTTGATCTCTCATCTTTTGGTATTTAACACTAAGTTATCTGAATAAATATGATATATATCTGCATAAAATAGTATGTGAGTACTACTTAATAGTACTATTTAATATGTCATCTGTGTATATATCGCATATCTCCTCTTACAGACAATAATTACTTAAAGGTAGAAATACTTTATTAATATCTATAATCATGACAGGTCTAGGGAGACACAATGTATGTAGTGAATACTTAACATTTTTTGAGTGATAGCAACTTTTAGTTATTGACTACCACCATTTTGAAAATCAGTCTTTTTTTTTTTTAAGCTCTGGTCTATTTTCATATCACTTGAATTTTCTTGAGAAATATAAATAAAGGACACGGGGGGGGAAAATCAGTTGAGAGTTTGGGTTGGAGATGATCTAAGTCTGCCAGGTTTCACTATGCGTTATTTGGAACTCAAGTGGTTTCAGTGTGACCAACATGAAATACATTTTGATTTATTCAAGGCTTATCATTTTGAATGACTATTGAATACTGATTTGTATGAACAAATTCTCACCTTCTGATAATTTCCAATATTCTGTTACAGTTTGCAAAATATCCTCACTGTAGTCCTTCAAGTAAATGTAAACTCAGTTGTTAAAATTCAATATTACTAGAGTTGTTGGCGATCTTAAATAATTTTTGTTGCATGATAGCTGCAGCTTAAATTCCAGGTCACGGAGTGTTATTAATATTATAATGTTTGAAATAGTTTCCAGGCCAATGACTCAATGTTATCTTAATATTCGCTCTTAATTTTCATAACACATTTATTTTGTGAGTGGACTTCACGAAAGGAAGTTGCCTTGTGTTGCCAACCTCATCATCTTGGGATTTTTGTCCAGAGCTGAGTTCCCGCTGTGCTCAAAGGGCAGAGAACGCCTCCTGAGCCACCGAACCATGCTGCTCGGGTAGGCAAGCCACATACATGAAAGGAGAAGGGAGCCCGGCCCGGCGTGGCTCAGCGCTTGAGCGTCGACCTGGGATCCAGGCGATCGGGGTTCGATTCCCAGTCAGGGCACATGCCCGGTTGCCGGCTCGATCAATGACCCTCTCATCATTGATGTTTCTATCTCTCTCTCCCTCTCCTTTCCTCTCTCTGACATCAATAAAGGCATATTTAAAAGAAAGAAAGGGGAGAGGAGGGGACTTCCTTTGCAAATAGGTACTGAGCATAAGTTCCTAGAAAGCAAACGTGATTTCATTACAGGACCAGCTACTACCTTAGTAGAAATAGTCTCTCTCTAGGTGCTCACACACAGACATCCCCCGTGTTCGTTTTGGTAAGTTGTATCTATTATTTACCGTCAGCAGCATCAGTCAATACTCACACCTGCAAAGTGCTTCAACATTTCTAAAAGGCTTCCACAAATACTTCATTAGTTGACTTACAGAATCTGGACAACTTGGAACTAATAATTAAGCATCAGAGGCTTGAAGAGAATAGTATGCTCTGGGCTACTTAACTCATTCAAGGCAGGGTAAATTTTGACCCCAGGTCACCTGACACCAAATCTGTCCACCCACACCTGTGCTGGGCTGACAACTCTAAACTACCATTGCACACATTATTTTTTCCTGCCACGTTTCTAGTTTCCACTTCATGTTAGCTCACATGTTTATAGTGTGCATATTGGGAAGAAAAGCATAGGAAAGAGAATGATGAAGAATTACAAGAATAAAATCACCGATGATAGAAAAAAGGAAAAAAATAATTTTAATTAATGTTATTAATATGCTAACAAAATTATCAACAAGCTTGGCCCTTTCTCCTATTTACTAGGGATAATTCAAGCTTATTCAGTCAATCTGGACAGTCCCTCATATACATCTTTCCCTATCAAGCAGGATTTTGCTCTTTCAGATTTGATATTGGGGAAGGGTGAAAGGAGGAGACTTTGCTAAAGAGGAATCTGAAGGAAAGACAGCTGTGGTTCACTTGCAATAATGATCTAGTGGACAATTAGAGTGTGGGTTCAGATATGCATATATGTGTATATATACGTATACACACACACACNCACACATACACACACATTTGGGAATGCTGGAGTCAGTGTGACTCTCTAAGCAGAATATACAGTAAGAATAAAAAAGGCAAAGGATGGGGAAGATAGATACAGAGAAGTTAAGAGTTATTTCCTCTATGATATTTCCTCTTTTTAGATAAGTAAATGTTCAACATATTCATGTATCACTAAAGTCAAAAAAATTAAGGATTGCAGTAGAATATGGTAATGAAACATAAATAACTTCAAAGATTTGATGAATATTTTCTTATTGCCATCATGTATACAATGATGTAATTTTTGTTTTAAATGCAGCAGTATTTCCAAAGTGTAAGTGTATGATAAAAGATAACCAATTTGATGCACTAAGGCGATTTGGCCTAAGCTGTAAAGAAGTATATTAATATTCAAATATGTGCAATGTGTAGCGCTTATGCTATGATCGTCTACAAAATGAAAAGTGGAACAACCTAAACGAACATAATATGTACATTTATCCACTTCAAAAGGTCAACATTAGTTATTATCCATAAAGATGAAAGCCCATTTCTGTATATTTAGCCTTCGAGGCCCTACTCAAATGTCCTTCCTTCTTTGGGGCCTTTACACATTTACTAAATAGAAATTACCTCCACCCCCACCCCTCCCCTGAACTCTCATTTACTTAAACAAAAGAGTTTTATATTTTTTTTTTATAAACAAAACTATATAAATACGCTTTTACTTTTAGACACATACAGGACTTCAATTCTGTTTCATAACCTTATTCTGCTATAATCCTATTTTTATCGTATAAAAATTAATGATTTAACATTCACAATTAAGTTTTATTTTATTCTGATTATAGTAAAAATATTTATTGGAAGACATCAGGAAAAACGCACAGTAGGTTGTAAGTATAAACAATAAAAAATCATCATATATGCCTCTTTCCTTCTATTTTCTCCATAAACTAATGTTATCCTATAAAGATATTTTTTCACCCTGCCATTTTAAATTTAAAAATGTGCCTGCTCCCACCCTATTGGCATGGCTCAGTGGTTAAGCGTCAACCTATGAATCAGGAGGTCAAGGTTCCATTCCTGTCAGGGCACATGCCTGGGTTTTGGTCTGGATCCCCAGTAGGGGGCATGCAGGAGGCAGTTGATCAATGACTCATCATTGGTGTTTCTCTCTCTCTCCCCCTCTCCCTTCTCTTTCTGAAATCAATAAAAACATATTTGAAAAAATGTGCCTTGTCCTTCTTCCACGTCATAAGTATTACTCTAAAGTATTTGTTTTAGTAGTTCTGTAGAAATTTACTACTTGAAAAAATAAAAAATAAAAAATATATATATATAAATTCTACACAATTAAGTATTGGGGCTGATTATCATTTTCACTGCTATTAAAACAGACCATGAAAAACATATTTTGTTTAAATCTTTGTAGACATCCTAATTATTGTCTTACATTAAATCACTAGAAATAGAATTGCTATGCCAAAAGGAGGGATTATTAACATATTTGATAAATAGACTATAAAGTCATTGTATGTTCCTTGTATCTTTTTATAGCACTTGCCCTATTTGTCTTGATTAGCTTACCTTCTTTATTAATCTTTGGAACTATGTGAATTACAATAAGACGTGCATGCAGACCTAGTATGTAGGTCTTGCAAAGTGTTAAAAATATGATTTTAAAAAATTAAGTTGTACAACATGTCTTTCATTCCCTAAACCTATAGCCTATTACTCTCCTCAGCCCACAGAAGTTTCATATGAATGATCCCAGTGGTGTATACATTCTGACTTAACAGATTCCTGAAGGTACAGACTCAGGAAGGATCATAATTGGAATCTGTGCAGCAAGGGATATATTTCACCATCACTTCTGATCTCTTGTAATTTGAAAATCAGAAATCAAAGAGCCTTTTGAGTTAAGGAATTATCTGTCTTCTCTGTGTAATTCTGTAAGTAACAGAGTTTTGAGTCCTCAAGGGTAACTCAGCCCTTAGTGCCTGCAGTTAAGAAGGCTATGAAAAAATGTATAATTTCAAAATGCTGATGACTCTGGGTTCCCACTTTGGTCCCTTCTATAAATAGCCTTTCCTCCTTACCTCCAAATACTGGGTGAAGTTTCATCTTTCACTCTATTTGCAGTTTAGGCATATTGACTCAGTTCAGAAGGAAACCCAGTGCTAGTTACCTTTTCTATCACTTAAAGTCAAAAGAAAAAAATAAGAGCATATGCACCGACTTGAAAGCACCATAGAATTTCAAAAACTATAATCTTTTAAAAATGCAGGAGCCCCACATTGTGAAAGGGTAACAGGCCTGACAGAGTTGCTTTATGAGCTCTGTGGGTGAGTCGGAAAGATGCACATGTTGTGTCTTGGAGAAACGAACTCACCTGGAGCTGAAGCCCATCGCTTCCCTCAATGCTGGTGCCAACATGCTGCCAGTCAGACACTCTCAGCTGGAGGAGTATCACAGGCCAGGAACTTCTCGCTTTTTATTCTACCTGGAACGAAATACAGTGTCAGTCCTTTTTTTTTTTTTATGTTCCTTCAAGCACAATAAGATATTCATTATGTTATCTTTTCGTGTCACATTAGACATTCATTTATCAGAATGCTCAATACAAAGGAAAGAAGCGTAAACTCCTCACCTCTATAATTTACCCCTCGATGATTAATACAGCACCTGTAGAAGTCAAAGGAACCATCTATATTTTATCTCCTATAAAGTGTTCCTTCTAAAAGGCTATTTATTATCTCAGGGCAATCCTTCTTATCCATTTGGTGTAAGTAATTGATGTGTTAATTTAAGAAGCCATTTTCTATATATCGACCCTAGCGACTATAAATCTATATTTTTAAACCCCAGAAAAAAAGCTAATGTTGAAAATATTTCATTTTCGGAACGCCCTTATTTATTTATTTATTTTTACTATGAAAAGCAAGCTCACAGGAAAGGGAATGTCATAACGCAGGTCCACTGGGCTTAGGCCTGCCCTGGGTTATGCTCATCAACCCGAGAGACAGGAGTGGAGGACCCGGAGGCTCCCTCACCGGCACCGAGCGTGGCCGCTCTGGGACACGCAGGGAAGGGGACGCCCTGGCCGTGTCAGGGAGGCGGGACGGTGGGGACGCCCGCTGCCCGTGATCAGAGCCCCTCGCCCTTCGGCGCTCGGCCCGCTGCAGCCCGCTGCCCACGGGGCGGTTTCAGGAAACAGCAGCTGCGGCGCTACACCAGGCTCGTCATTTGTCCAGCCAGTGCTTTGCCTTTGTCCTTTCGCGGGATCTGGAGTTGGGCTCCGAACTGAATTTTATGGTGGGGATCCTGCTGGTGGCCGACATCCCCCCGAGGCTCACTGCCCGCCTGGGTCCTCAGGACTAAGCTCGGGCAGAGCGATACACCCCATGGCGTGGCCGCCCGGCCAGGGTGCCCTCCCGCTTCGTGGCAGACCTAATGGAGACTAATCGCTTGCTTGAGTCACCACCCGATACTTGGCACCCCCACCTTTGTGCATGACAAATGTGCTCCATGTACTTCAACACACGTGACCTTAACTGTGTTTTTGTTAATTAAGGGCCACCTATGTTATGCCATCTTGCTACTAATAGTTTACTCTGTTTTCTTCTGGGCAGTATAATGTGAAAGGTGCAATAAAGATCTGCCTGAACCCCTTTACAGAACTCAAAATTAAGAAAAAAATATTGTTCGTGCCCTAGCTGGTAGTGTCTTCCTGCACACCAAAAGGTTGCGGGTTCGATTCCTGGTCATGTGCACACTGGAGGCAGCCGACTGATGTTTCTGTCTCTCTGTCTCTGTCTCTCTCTCTTTAAAAAGTCAATAAATAAATATCCTCAAGTGAGGAATTAAAAAAAAAAAAAGAATATTGTTCTTTCCGTGTAGCCCTCTTATAATTCAGATTTCCCTCCTCTCATTCCGGAATCCATGTTATCCCCTTGGTTTCTGTGTTACTGCCAGACTAGACTTCCAGCAGCTCTGATAATAACGACTTCTTAAGTGCTGATCTGGTGCCAGCTGAAGACAGATGGCGCTTTCACATAAAGATAATCTGAGGAGAGTTTAATAAAGAACCGATTTACAAAATGGTGGGCTGTATGTAGGAAAACCCCAAGGGAAGGTATAGTAGAGACATTACCGCCCCTAGGCCTGCAAAGGCGAGGGCAGACGGCAGTTTTTGCCATCCAGGAGTCGGATGGGTTGAGGGGGCCTCCTGGAGGCCAGCAGTGACCTTCGCTTGAGAGTCCCGGGTAGGACAGACGACAGGGTGGAAGGGAGCCCTGGGACCTAACCCTCGAATCTGCTCCTTTCCCTCTGCCTTTCCGCCTGCACCACCTATGGGACAAACCGCGTTGGAATCCCCAGTGCAGAGGGGACTGTTGATGAGCTACCTCCAGGCTAATTTCCAATATTAGAGAAGGGGGTGGAGAACGGAAAAGTATGAATCTGAGAGCACAGACCAGATCCCAGGAACACTGTCTGTCTTACTTTGGAGCACAGGGTTGGAAAGCAGATGTTAATCTGAGCCCTAGATCTGTCTACATGTGTAACTCTGCTAGACAAATCACGTAACTTTTCTATATCTCAGTATCGTTATCTCCACCACGGACATAACAGTAAGTGCTTCAGTTTTATTGTTATTGTTAAATGGCATGCTGTACCTAGAGCACATACTGCTATGAAATGCTTAATAAGAGTAGCAGTGATGGCAGTAATTCCTCTCAAAATGCAAAAATAAATCAAGGAACACATGCTAGTAACACTCAACTCTCCAGCACTTGTCCAAATAGACCATGTTTTTTTCTCAAATATCTGACTTCCATAAGTGTTTTTCCTTCGGCTTAAGGATAATTATCTTTTCTCCTCCCATCCCAACCTCTGTTTGCTCAGAGAATTCCTACTCATATTTTAAAATCCATGAAGGGATGCGATCTTCGGTCTCTCTCGGGAGAAGGGGAGCAGGCCCTGTTTGGATTTCCAAGGTGCGCATCACTCTTCCAAGCAATTAGACTCTGCCGTCTTTCTCTGTGACTGTGAGCTCTTGAAGGAGGGAAAGGTTAAGTCTCACAGATTTGCATCCTCAGAAGGTGGTTCATTGCCAGATTCATAGTCGATACTCAATAACCATTACATGAAGGAATGAATATGTATTACTAGAATAAGTCCATTACAAAGGAAGAAAAAGGTTCAATAACTTATTTCCTTTTTGCCCAAAGGGCAGATCAATCTGTGACAAATGGTACAAAGTGGGGGGAATGAGACCATCATGGAGAGTCAAGAAGTCTCTGAAGAAGAAAAAGAGGCTGGAAAGGAACATCCAAGCAACTCTGCAACTTTTCCCTGGGACAGCCTGGCTGGAAAACTCAGCACAGTCATTTCAAGGCTGCCAGAAGGACTCCTCCTGATTGATTTCAAGCAATTCAGAACTGACAAACTAACTAGGTAACTATGACAAAAACCCCTCTACAGATCCGATGCACTTGAATGATAAACCAGCCTATTTACCAATATTTTCTCAAGGACTAACCAAAAGTTTCTCCCCTGGAACTTAACCTCACAAAGTGGCCCACAGGACAAAGTCTTATTCTCACCCTTGCCTCCACCCTCTCCATTTGTCACCCTCAACAAGACCACATTTACTGGCAGCTGAGTGTCCTTGCAACATTTCTGCAAAGACAAATTTGCATGTATATCCTTTACTCCTCCTTAAAAAAAAAAAAAGGATGGTATGCTTTATTCATTATTATGGACCTTGTTTTTATTCACCTAAAGTAATTTAAAGGGCTTTTCATATCAGTAAATAAACAGCATGTTTATTATGTCCAGCTTCATCTTTTTCTATTGTTCTGAGACACCGTAAGTGATTTACCCAGACTCTCCCAACATTTATATTTTCAAAAGTTTGCTATTATAAAGAGGCTTTTAATGAAAAACAAAACAATTAACAAAAACAAACAAAAAACCCAACCTTGCACATGTAACCTAATATCTAAGAGGTACATCAATGGGATACATTTCTTTGACCATGTGGAGGGAGGTCTAAGGTAAATGCATTTATAGCTTTCAAATATATAGCCAAATTTCCCTCCTCGAGAATCAAACTGAATTAATACTCCCACCAACAATCTATGAGACTGCTTGAATGGACAGACTTTTAGATTCTGAAAAATCTGACAGGTGAAAAACTGTATCTCAGTGCCATTTTAATGAGCATTTTAAAAATTATGAGTTAGGTTTAGTTTTTTCATGACATTTAAGGGATATTGTGTACCTTTTATGTGTGAAATTCCTGTTGATATTCTTTGCGATTTTTATTCCAAATACAACTTAACATATTCTTTCTTATCCTATGTATTTTCAAAATAAAGCAAAATTATTAACAACATCAGCAAAATATTCTTCTATGTTTAGGTTTTTTTAAAGCTGTTGTCCCCAAGCCTCTTTCAGTGTGGACTGGAAAGCGACACATCACAAAGCGGTACCACAGTGCCCTCTGGTGGCTCTCTGCTCCATCGCATCCTTCCTGCATTAACTCTTGGGGCAAAAACTATAGGTAGATCCAGCTTGGTCTTAGGGGGTTCCATAGCCTCTAAGCCTACTCCAAGTCCCCTCACCCCTCAGAAAATATGGAGCTACACCCACCCTGAAAACAAAGAGACGTTAGAGCTACTTCAGCTCTCCTGCAAGTCTGTGAGTGTTCTGAGGGGATTCGTTACTTTTCTAGGTTTGTGTTTGTTTCCTGGTTGCTGTAAAAGACGACCCTAGAGCATGTTGTCAGTGGGCTGCAGGGTTGTTCCAGGCAGTCAGGCTCTGCTCCACCCTTCCCTGTACATCAGTGAAATCAAAAGGGCTATCATTACACACCAGAAATCCAGGTAGTAAGTATCACAGTTAGCTCAGTCAGACGCCTGAAATTCATTCCTTCATTCATTCCACAAATATTTGGAAACTAAGTGTAGTATTCTAGGTGCTCATGAACTTTTCAGTGAACAAAAGAGACAAAAACCTCTGTCCTCTTGGAACACATCTACTAGTTGGAGGAGACAGACTATTAGTAAATGAATAGNTATTCTAGGTGCTCATGAACTTTTCAGTGAACAAAAGAGACAAAAACCTCAGTCCTCTTGGAACACATCTACTAGTTGGAGGAGACAGACTATTATTAGTAAATGAATAATTAAGTAAATGCTCTGGGTCTGTGAGTACATATGTGTGGGGAAGATGGCATATGAGTAAGGATTTGAAGAAGGTACGGGAACTATGTGGTTTTGAGGAGGGAGAGGCTTCTAGTAAGTAGAAACAGCCCTAAGGCCAGGTATAGTGGACACCTGCAAGATGCTCTTATGGGATGAAGGGGGCTTTTCACCCAGCTGCGGGGAGTGTTACCAACTGAGAGGCCCATTCCCATCCCACTCTGAAGTTGCCCTAAGCTGGTCACGCTGACTCACCAAGGCCTCACCCAAGGGCAGCCTGTACCCAGAGGCCGGT